ATTTTAAAATACTTTAAAAAACTCATACATAATTAATTAGCTACTAGGCCAATAGAATGAGTCTATTTGGTCACATGCATGGACCTTTATATCTGATAAAACACTCCTTATTAGTATTCTTTATATAAAGAATACTAATAAGGGTATAAGGGTGACCTTTATAAGATATAAAGGTCCATGACCCTAGCAAAGGTCTCAGGTTTGAAACCTGATCATTGACCAATGCAGGATGTCAACCGATTTCAGTGAACAGCCAAGAGCGCTTCTATTTTACTTTATGCGTATTCAATGTGGGATGACAAGAGTGCKTTGTAAAGTGATTCGCACATGGTCAGTTTGCCCCATTTATCTCTGAATATATTTGTACGGCAATTTCTCCAAGAAWTTTAACGGATTTTAGTTTCAAWTTAGTGTTGGAGTTTTTTAAGCCGTTTAAAACACTCGAGATCGTGTTWTAAAYTATACATAATTTTGTTTAGAGTCAAATAATAACATGGATACGCTGCAAACGTCCTGATTTTACCATGCACATTTAGCCCGGCATAGAATATATCATCGCGAAAAGCGACACTAAATGAAATTTCGTAAACTCTGATGTCAGACGCGGACTGCAGCAATGTCACTACTATGCTCTTAATACCTGCTATGTTTAACACTTTTTGGATTTTTCTTGTGTATTATGAATTTATGATTAATCATTTTTTCGKGGAAATAGTCGCATTTYGGCTTATTTGAAAGAGAAAATCCATGTCCGCACGAATAAGTCACSCAGTCTATTCATACGAAAAAAGAAGAAGTAATGAAAAACGCAATTCAAAAATTTCTGAAAGTAATCTAGTTAACCGTGATTCGTGRGTCGTGAAATCGCCAAATTTTTATTCCTTTTTACTAAGTACTAATGTCCTATTTTCTATGACAACGTTTTCGCAAGTAGGTGTAGTACTGACCTATTATCACGTGTAATTTGTAATTATTAATTAATTTTGGATGGTGGAAAAATAGTTGAATGAAGGGAATAAAAAAAATGAAGGCAGATTGATAAGTAATCGTGATTGCGAATGTGATTGTGATTGTTGTCCGGTTCATACTGACATGCGCAATCGTCGCGCTGAACCCAAAATTCCGTTTGAGTTTACCCAAATACATTTACTCGAGAAATTAACATCCACTATTACTGTCGAAAAAACATGTAGATGTACATTTAGTGGTTCGGCTTGAGGATAGCTCGACCTATTGAATCAGTGTCGATGAGATTTTGCCGTGCAGCACGACTGGTGCTGCAGAGCCAGAGTCGATCGTGCCGAGCTTAATTGATATCGAGCTGTTCATGTCCTAAAAATAACTATCTGACTCAACGCGACGCTGTCTAGACTTCTAAAGTCTGTGAATATATAGGACTTTKGAACACACGCACGGACGACAGTAATCAATTACACGGGCGCTCTCATTAAAGGGCGCGTGCTCCGCTGTCTTTTTATTCAATTGTTTTGATAATTACGTTCGTTCGGGAAAATTCAGAGGGGTATTCTATATAAAACAAATAGACAATAGATGTGACGTCACTTTAATCACGCAACTCTCGATCTTATCAACAGTAAGGCGGAAGAARKAGTTGTCGTGTGGGCCATCTGAACGAAGTCCTCGATTTTTGTTAGAAACTCAAACACAAGTAAGTTTAAGGCTATGAAATGACTTAAAATCCTTTTTCTGTAAGTAGAACTTTGTAAAAACCAGCACTGTTYTTGTCACTAGTTTCCTCTTGTATCAAAATGTTGCACAGTGACTGTAAACTTCTTCATTTCAACGGGTCAAAGTAGACCTTTTTAATAGCAAATGCAAGAAGATACATTTGGCTTTAGTATGTTTTAAGTGTGAATATGCTTAGAGAATTGTAGTTGCATAACTGAATACTGGTCAAACGTCTTCATTTCAACGGGTCAAAGTAGACCTTTTTAGTAGATGCAAGAAAATAACCGTTGCCTTTAGTGTTTTAAAGTGTTTCAAATGCTTTAGAGAATTGTAGTGGCATTAGCGGCATAGTAAACACTTATCAGTTGATAAAAGCTTAATATGATTATCTATAAAATACCAATATTTCTCTCTTTCGAAAAGTTGTTATTTTACTAGTGCACACATTTGTGGTTTCTCATATTGGAAGTAAAAAAAAGTATTTTACAACATAATTTGCTAATTTTATCTTCTCGTGTTGAAAATCGCTACACTCACTCGTGAGAGCTCTTTTCAACACTCGAAGATAAAATCCGAACCTACGTGTGTTCATGTAATATCGTCTATTCCCTTTTGTGACAATAAATAAATCAGAAGAATTGTATATAATTTTGTTTTGGTAATGAGCTAATCGTGAATTCTTTCAAAACGTTGCATTATACCTTGTTTTGCAGCGAAAATATATTTTTGTTCACATTTGAAAACAAACAAACTAGATTTTGTTCCATTAGAAAACAAACAAATTAGATACTTTCAGAGATTCCGAATTGACCTGTATAGTCGTAAAAGGAAAGATGCGCTGTCGTACAGCGAGTACTTTTAACGAATATTAGTAATTATTACATTCAATAAGTTGTTGTTTTTGAAAGCTGGTTAATTGCATCGTAAATTAGAAACAATTCAAAGTGAATTTTCTAAAGGTGGGTACAATTATCTAGAACTGCAAAGTGACCCAGAAATCAATGAACTTTGAACGTAGATAGTGAAACCGCTCTCTAAGTTTGTAGTTCTACTTGAGTTTTGATAACTTCTGTGACTCCATTCTACGCCCGATAAGAGTACAAAACAAGGAAATCTGCTCAATTCAGTAATCTAAGTACCTTGTCCCCTACACTGTTCCTCATTTCTGCATCATTATATAAGACATATATAATTCCGGCCAAACCTGGCAAAGTTGTAAGACTGAAGCAACGTATAATCTTTTGTAATGTTTAAACTAACTTTTTCAGTGATAACTTCTGGTCAGGTCAGTTTAGATTCTAGCTTAATTCTGTTGACATGCAGCCCAGAAACTTAAAACTTGTTTGAAAAGGAAAATGCAGTGCACTGGCGGAAAGAGGAATTTTCAAACAGGAGAGGAAAAAACATAATTTATTTGGCTCAAATAGGTGGAGATTTATGTTTTATTCGTCGAATCACGTATGCTATATCTTGTTACAGTTTTGATCACGTTTTATTTACAAGCTTATATGCAACAAACGTTCATCATATTTTATTTCAAGAATTTCGTATATACTTCATAGCCATCCATATATAGTTTATCTAACGTCYCATCTTGGAAAGAACCAATCAGGGGACAGGATGGGTCCTCATAATAGACTCGGTCGTCCCTTGCGGTCTCATTCGAGCACAATCGACAGTCTTGTTCCTCAAGAAACTGTCCTCCTCCTCCCATAGACTTTCCACGTTTGGATTTTTTTAGTTATATTGCCGGGGGCGTTTTACTTGCCCTCGCCCTTACTGGTAAGTTAAAGATTTTGCTACTAAATTTATTGCTAGTATTTAGCAGAATTTATTTTTCGTGATTTTAAAACGCGGCTTTGATGTTTTGCCCATTACTGGTCTCGAGTTTTGACAATTGATTAAACTAAACTGCAATCAAGCTCGTCCAATGCAGCTCTGAATACGCCATTACTCTTAGTTGTAGGTCCATTAGAACATAAATGCAGTTCAGGAAGTTAAAACTGCTCAACGAGGAAAGTTAACAGAAAATGAGGTAAGAGAATCGATTTCTCAAGTTATTTTTGGAACGGAACTAGATTGGTTAGATGGTAGGAGGATGGTAGGAGGATGGTAGGTTAAAATTGCTCGACGAGGAAAGTTAACAGAAAATKAGGAAAGAGAATCGATTTCTCAAGTTTTGGAACGGAACTAGATTGGTTAGATGGTTGGAGGCGGAGTTGCATCGTCAAGACACTGAAATTCAGAATGGCGGAGAGTGAAGCAAAATCAACAATAAATACACAGCGATAACTATGTTTTAATATTTGTGGATGAAGACAATTTGGTATCAGAAAGAAGTGGGAAATATAAGGGAAGGAACCAACTATATATTTATAAATACGTTAATTAGCAGAATTGTAGTGTTATGCATCTTCAAAGTGTTTAAAATTGAGGAACATTTTCCAAATGACTTAACAGAACAAAAAAATGACAATTGATTTTTTTTCTGAGTTACAGTGCAGCATTTATGAATGTTAACTATTATTAATTATTATTAATTATGAAGTTGCTCTTTTATCTTGTCGATAAAAACGCTGTTTTACTGTGCCACAAAAAGGTCGATAGTGATAGCGAGCTATGCAGCTTCGTGATGTCAACTTACAACTGTAATTAAACTAGGAAATATCTAGAAATATCTAGTAAATGAAACACATAAAATATCTTTTGGAGAATTCTTTTAAATTAAGAGTTTTGACATATGAATCTTTGTGTAACAAAACATGGAAAGACATGTATTCACACAAAAAAACACTGATATTGTAGAGAATGCTTAAAATAGTTTGTTCGATCTAAAAATAGCAAGAGTTGGGCTCCTCATGGAGTCCAAGGATAAGTTCTCTTAGCTCATTCTCGTTTGGGGAAGTGTAGTACTTGTGCAGGCGAGGGGCGGAAAGAGCATTTTTCAAAGGTGGGTCATCATCGCTCAATACCTGTTTTTTGTTTATTTTTTTCTGTTTTGTTTTCATTTGTTTGAAAGACTACCTATTTTTGTCCATTTGTTTCTAAACAAATCATGGGATTCGTTTCAAGAGCTGATACATGACCCAAAAAATTCAATGCCACTAGGTCAATGCACAAATTACGAAATTTGAAAGATTGTAGCTCGTAAAAATTCGATAGAAACAATAATACAGTTCACTGTGAAAATAACTTTTATCCGCCCTTCCAATGACACTTAGAATTAGGAATTAAGGCAGTAAAGCTCTTCTCACTGTCTTCACATCACACCAGTCTACTTCAGTTCAAGAAGATTATTTTATTTTCATTTTTTTTTATTATATTTACGTAATAACGGTTCTGAGAGGTTCAAATAAAACTTAATAAACTATCTTTTAAAACGACAATATATACGTCAATTTATGAAATTCGAAAAGTTTACTTTCCGTCGTCGAGTTCCATCTCAGTTTCAATTTCATTTTATTTTTGACATTTTTAAAACTGTTAATAAAATACAGGATCATCAATCATTCATGTATCATAATATATCCCCATTTATTATTTGTATAGCCGTTTTACCGGAACTAAAACACTCGTATTTTCTATATTTTCACTAGAAGATATGAAAAAGTTATGTACCAAAATGTCCCGGATGAACGCGCGTCAAATCTAAACAACTTTCCCGCCCATTTCTCGTCGCTTCTTCACTGATTTAAATATGGCGGCTAGATTTGTAGAAATCTCAGAGAAAGACGTGGATAAATTTTCAAAAAAAAACTGAGAACCAAAGAACAATGAAGAAAACAGAATACGACCTTAGAATATAACTTCAAAATATTCTTATGAAGTTCATCTTGAATTATTGTCAAATCTTCTAGCGACGAGAGCAGCTAAAGTCAGTAAGCTTAAATAAAGAGACATTTTTTTTTATATTTTGATATCAATATTTGGTGAACTTTATTCAGTTGTGCGATTTTCAACACGTTCACTTGTAATGAATATTTCTCAGTTTTCTTTGCATTAAAATTCATCATTTATTCTTTATTTTGTTTGCTTCAGTTTGTCCATATAATAAAAAGAACATTACACGGTGGCTTCGCTGCGCCACCGTGTAATATCCTCTATGACTGTGAGGTATGCCTCGCACGTGCTCTACACGTGTCAACAAACTGAACACTTACTTGGAATCTTTGTTGTTGTTGTTTTTTTCAATTCGATTCAATGAAATTTATTGTTACTTTGATGACCATCCAAGAGTTTTATTTAAAAAAAACATCAGGATATATGTATACTAATACATCAGAATTACAGACTTTGATTAAAGTTCATACTTACAAGAGGAATACAGTTCAATTATAAGTAAATCTATATAGTACTAAAGGTGAAGAATGAGTACTAGTGTGGATGGTAGACAGCTCAAAAGGAAACCAAGGCCTTATTCAGACGATAGTGTAAACAAAGAAAATATAAGCAATACAGGAGAGTTTCTTTTAATCGCTTTGACATTCTAAAATTCAAAAAGAAATTTCGGTCGCTGAATAAAATATAGAGTAAGTGTCACGTGAAATACCGTATTTTCAGACGATTAAGTTCTTGTCTGTGACTTTGTTGGGCTTCTTTTGTCGCGTCAACGGCGGCGTCACTTCTAGTCTAGCATCGCCTTTGCTTAATATCAATGCTGTGGAAAGTAGTGATTAGACATCAAGAAGAACAATACATAATGCACTAAGAGAAGAATAGATATTTTGTTGCATAAAACTCCCTTAAGTGTCTGATCCACTGGCACCATAGTGCTTTTTCCAATCCAAATTGTTTCAAGTGGCGTTTGTTTGTTAATACATAGTTAATAGAGAGGTCCTCTCTATTAACTATGGTTAATAGTTTATTGTGTTTGTAGCTTGCAAAATGAATCTCTTGTTTATAGCAGACACCATTGTTATTCTAATATAATTATTCAGTATTTATAATGTTGAAGACAACTGAGTATTTAATTTACTAGCTGTGAGCCTACAAGTCTGCAGAAATGATGTGTTCTCTAATAATTTCCTGGTGCGTCGTACTGACCTTCAGTCAAAGCGTTTCTGGTAAACTCTTTGGAAAACAACCTCCAGGTAAGACGCATGCTAGTTATTTCTTTTCTTTTTAAAAAAAATCTTAAGCCGTTTCAGGTTAAAATTCTTATTTTTCAGTGATGTAAACTGAATTTTTGCACTTGCTAAATTGCACGCGCCTTAATTGCACTTTCATGGCACTTTGGCTACGAGGACTAACATTTGCTCTTTGCTTATCTGCTCCTTTGCTCTGTTGAGAATTTTACGTAAGTGAAAATCATGTGGCGGTAAAATGTCAACTTCTCTCGAATGATGAGCCTTAGCCAATTACATCTGTCAATATTTGGCTGTATTCAAACTCACTTTTCAAATTCTCTCATCATGTGACTGCACGCACTCGAGGAAACGGTCCACATAAAAGCAAAGATTCGCCTGACCGCTCCCAAATGTAACAAGCCCTCAGTAACTTGTGGTATAGGCTCCACTAAATTTTAACAACAAAATTTCAGATAAAACAGAAAACATACATGTTCTTTTTACATGCAGATATTCCATCCTCAAATTTTAATGGTAACAGTCCCGTTGCATTGTGGATGCAGCAGATTGGACTTGCCGTTCGCATATGTCAAAGAGTGGAAGAAGCTCAGTCATATAACAGCGGTAAGCTTGTCTTGTCGTTCCTTTTAACCACCACTGTTTCGCATATTTCATCGGAATGAATGTTATTTTATATCAATCGAGCTATGCGCAGCATTCAATAGCTTAGATTACGCAGCTTTCTTGACACACATCTTAGATTGAAAAGGTTTTCAATATTATAGTTGAGTTGATGAAGTYTTAAGCTTGGTTAAACGACAAAGAAAGCTTAGAATCTGGCGCGATACGCAAGGCACAGTTCGTATTGTGTCTATGACTAGTGCAGTTTACATGGATTGCTAAGCTTTAGTATTTGCACCTAACGTTATGCTTAATGTATGCACTGCAAATGGCACGCATTATGCACGCCTATTGATTGAAACTGGGGCGTAGATTGTCATATAAAATGCGTTTTAAGTCCTTGAATGTAACTCTTCTTCTTCTATTTAACCTCACCTCTTTCTAGTTGCGAAGATTGMTGTTAGGAGTGTTAGTTTTAAGTGCAAGCGAATACAGTTTTTTTTTTAAGTGGCTCTTTTTACGTTCCCAAATACTGTAAAGACAAAAGACGTAATAATATAACCATTTAAAGGTGGATGAACAAAGGGTACAACATCTCAAATATTTTAAGACCCTGAATATTTGCACGGACTGGAAGAGAGCTCTGAGTCTCCTGTGTATAATAGTTTTCTATGCTCAACCAACTGAACTAAGCGATTGACTCTTTATTTACCAGGAGTATCACCTTCAACAGCTCAGATTACCATCGGACGCTGCCAAGCTCAATTAGTCAAGTCCACTGCACATGTCACGGCAAAACAACAGGTAAAAATGTCTTAATGGCTGCTTTTATATATTCAACAGGAAGCAATTATTCCAACTATATCCCTAATTGTCGTTAAGTCATGTGACTATGTCGTCTGTCTGACAGTATCCTTTACATTAACATGAAGACTAGTCCAAGTATGGAAAGCACTGTACCTGTTCTATCCAACTTTTGAATCATAAGGAGCAAGAAAAAAGTTTTACAATAATATTTCGCCTTAAATGATTCAAGTCAAAATCATTTTTTTTTTATTTGCTGTATTTTGTTTTGTRCAAAGGAGCGTTTCTCTTTTGCGTTATACGATAATGAAATTAGTAATTGAGAATTCAAAATATTCTGACTGTAAATTTACTTGCGCATGCCGACTTTAGAAAAACCTTTTAACCGCTGTCCTTTATCCTTACATATATCAGGTTTGCCCTGGTACACAAGCCTGTAGTCCTACTATGTCAGAGGTTATACCCGTAAGAACAGACAATGGAATCCAGGAGATAACAAATGCGCTGGACTGCACTTGCTCAGCATTGCATTCTGTTTGCAAACGTCGTCGTTTATTACGTACATTTTACCGTGGAACAAAGTACGAACGCGTGATAAATGTTGGAAAATGCGCGGGAAATTGTCAAAGTAAAAAGTGCCAGCCACTGTACATTAAGACCATGGCTATCAAAACTCCAAATGGTAAGCAACTGGTTTACTCATTTCTTGTGGGTACGTTGTATTCAGAAATGTTGTAATAAGATCGACTGATCGAATCATCGAGTATACATTCTTTCTATAATCAAAATGACAGGAAAATTCGACAACAAAATATGTTGATAATAAGGAAGGTTTTCAGTAGAATTTTGAAAGTTTTGCTACTTTCACAGACAAAGATTTGAATCTTCTTGAAGTTATAATGAAGTTGTCCTTCATTTTGCAACTTCGATCCTGTACATCCTCTCTGTCAAGTCATAAGTTTATGCCACCCTCTGCTGTAAATGTTGCGCAATCTCTAGTATTAGATAATGCATCTATAAAAGCGGCTTCTCCCTGGGGGTGACACCCGGGAAACCTTGATAATGTGTAATAATTCTTGCACTAGATTATATTGATTAAGTAGTTGATTTTCCTGGTTTAATAACTCCGGTTTTAATTTTCAGTTAATACCCTACGTTGCTTCTTTATCTTTTCAATTGTTCCATTCTATTACACCGTAATTCGTTTTAATTCATTTTGAATAGTAAATATATATGTACGCCATTTTACGGCTATRGTTACTGTCTTTTTTAGGACGAAAAGAGGTCAAAGTGATAAAAAAGTGCGGATGCGAAACTCCTTGCTACAGGATGTCATTCAAGAAAGCCTACTCGGTAATCAGGAGCAACTCTCCGTATGCCAACAACACTAAAACTAAGGTATGAAAAACACTTCAACGAGACTGTCTTTGATCATTTTCGAGCTGTCGATCACCTCAAATTCAAATCTTGGCCGATAGCCACTTCTCGGCCTAGACT